ACTATTTATTCGATACGTATACTTACATAGTAGAATTTTAACTGACAAATATAATCTTCAATTTTTTTAATAACAAATAATTGAAAGCATTATTCAAATGAATAAGTCTTTTTTGTAGTTTGCTATTTGCTTTTTACTTTTTCTTCAGTTTTTAAGAAAAAAATAAATAATAAAAACATTAAACTAATGAAGTCTGAATTTTATTAAAAGTAGGATAATTTGATTACTGTTCAATTTCTTTCAATTGAGTCTCTAAGTGTCATTCAATTAGAGTCCCTCTTTATATTTTTTTTGAGTTTTTTTTCAAAACAACATTGTTTTGATATTAAGCCTTTTATATTATGATTGTTGATTAATGGCTTTTTATTTCTTTTGGCTTTTCAGTTCATCATTCTTTTATCGTTGATATTAGGTCTTTTACATCCCCGATTGTTGTTAGTCTCTCTTTTGTTCGTCGTTCAGTTTCTGTTTCCTCACATATCGTACCGGACTCTCTCTCCTCCGTTAGTACCTGCTTTATCTCTTAATTAATGCTTTATTCGTAGCATAGAAGAGGGATGCGTGGGTTGTTACATCACGACAAGGATTGAAGATCTTAATTTTGAATGAAGATAAACAACAATTGACTAAAACTAAAAATGTAGTGTACAAAGAAATCTTCCCAAATTTACATTAAGGTTAGACTTTCTTTTCCCTTACTTAATTATAAAATAATACATTCCCAATTACTATATGATCACTTACATATTATTTTCTCTCTTCTTTATAATTTTCTTTGGTGAAGGTTTCAAGTAAATGTTAGTCTTGAAGCTGTTGCATCAATCTGCATAATTTATGAAGGTACTTTTTCATCTATAAAATCTGAACAAATTACATTATTGCATATATATTCTCTCTTTTACATTCTAAACTGCTTCGATGAACCATGTCATTTTGCATTTTCATAATATTTCATTGGTAACTAGCAGTTCTTTGATTCAACAACCACTTAATGACATGCTAGGCTTCAGCAGATAGATAGATGAAACTACAATTGATGTTGTTTTCCTGTGCCCTCCTCAAGGGATTTGAGATCTATGAAAAGATTTGTTTGGATAAAGTCCCAATGAATGAAGCAACCTTGACAGCTGAGGGAAGAATGGCAATTTCAATAAATAATGGTCACATGACATTTGATATGGTAAAGAAAATGAAGCAATATGGTATAAATCCTAGATTGTGTTCTTATAGTCCTGCTCTAAGTGTTTTCTGCAACACTGGAGATGTTGACAAAGCATTCGATATTAAGAAGGCATGTTCGAGTATAGTGTTCATGCAGAAGAGCCTAAATTGGAGGCAGTCTTAAGAGTAAGTGCAGAAACTGAAAAAGGTGACAATGTGTGTTACTTATTACATAAAGTAAAAACGAGTGTGAGAAAAGTGTCACCTTCTACTGCAGATATAATCATGAAATGGTTTGAGAGTAAGGTAACCTCAAGATTGGGGAAACAAACCATGGATTAGAGATTTATAAAGAAAGCAATTGAAAATGGAGGAGGAGGCTGGCATAGGCAGGCCTAGTTGAATAAAGGTAGATGGAATTTATCATATACAGCTATTAGAGCTAATGCGTTATGTAAATGTTGTGAGGAAAAGTTGGCTTTAATAGATCTTGATCCTGTAGAAATGGAGAACTTTGCTGAATCATTTGCATTTACAGATATAAAGAGAGAAAAGCATTTCAGATTTCCAAAATTTCAAGTATGAAAAGCTTCTTGATCTATTTTCAATCGCTTTAATCATGTATGCAAATTTTGATAAAGTTGTTGTATTTATTTGCTTGCAGAAATGGCTAGACTACTATAGGCCGTTTGAAACTGTGGTAGATACAACTAATGTTAGTCTTTTTAGACAAAGAAGATTCATGCCATCAAAGTTTAGTTTGGCTTGAATGAATAGGATTCACTACAACTATACCCAATTGTTTTCCTTTGCTTTTTTGTGAGTAATATTGATTCAATTTTATTGGGTGAGTCTTCTTGACTTAATTTCTGTTGAAACATTGGAACTTTAATTTTTGAATTTTCAGGATGGTTGTACATGATTTTAACATGCTTAAGGATGATAGGCTAACAACCACATATCATGTTTCTTTCCTTTTATATTGATCAGTAAAAGATCAATAACTTTATTGTTTTCTTCAGTATGGAATAACATCTTAAGTAAGATCTGTAATAGTTTGCAATTAAAGATTATTATGCCTTGAATGATTGTGTTGGTTGTACCAACCTTTTTCATTTGTAGTTTGATTATTCTGGTATCTTTAAATTAGGATGAAGTAAGGCACAACTTCAAACACAGGAGGTATATTTAAGTTTTACGTAATAAACATGCATGACAATTTAGTATTGGGGCATGCTTTTAATGTATCTCATCTTTGCCCACGAGCCAATTGGACCAAATTGTTTTACTCAAGTCTTATTTGGTTTAATTGAGGCATTGGTCCGATCCAATTTTATTCACTTCTAACCTTTGTACTTTTATTTCAAATAGAATAAACCTTTCTTATTAACTGTTGGTTAACATCTGTTAGCCAAAGTGCTATTAATTTAATGCAATGCCATCTGCCATGTGATATATATGTTGATGTGTTAGTTTAAGGATAATATTGCCACATGGTAGATGACATGAAAACTAATTATTATACTCTAATTGTTGAGCAGATTTTTAATTACAAACTAGGCTTTAACATTTTTAACCCAATCACATGTTTTAAAATGATTGATTTAAGATTTTAAGACAAAAAAGGATTAAAACACTCTAATCAGCTCTTAATCCACTTTTAAGGTTCTTAACAAAGTTTCCTAGATCCCAACATTTTCCCTCGCTTTTTCTTTTCCCACTCATTTCCTCTTTCTCCTCATCCAATTTTCTTGTCATCGCGCCTTTAACTTTCTTTATCTGATGGGAATCCATGAATTGACCGACCCTCTCCCACGTTCTCATGCCCTGGGTACTCTATACATTCAATCCTTTCTCATACTGTTTAATATTTGAACATCAAGTACTAATTAATGATCCCCACAGTTGCGTCTGACAAGAGGTTGTTGGTGTAGTTTCTTGAGATTTGGTTACCTTCCAAGACAAAAAGAAAAAGGAATAATAAGAAGGATTAGGAGAGGGAATAAAAATGTGAATGTGAATAGCTCTTCTTTGCTCCATTTCTGTTTGGAAGAAAAGAAAGGAAATTGGATGAAGACGAGAAAGAAGAAATGAGTGGGAAGAGGGAAAGTTGAGGGAGAATTTTGGAGTTCAGGGTTGATTAAGAAATGACTTTTTTATAAAAGAATGAGTTGAGATCATGATTTAGATAAGTCGACATGGTTATTGAGCACACATAAAGCTCATCCCACCTTGGAAATTGATAAATATTTTAAATTATTTTCACAGTTGAGAACACTCGCGCTCATTTCACTTCTCAGATTTGTTCCATTTGCATATTACAAATGATGGAGACCTGAGCAACTATGGGTTGGATATCAGATTTGCTCTAAGATTTCCAACACCTATGTCGGGACACAGAGAGGAAACAAATTGCTATTTCGAAAAAAAGAGAAGGGGGAAACGTTTCTGGAATATACAAGATACAAAAATTGATGGAAAACAAGTCAGCATCCAGAACATACATATATCATTTTCAACACTTGACGTGCAAAAACTAGATGAGACTTTTAATTCTGAACATACAAACGGACCCCTCTTTCTCCATCTTGCAGGGCCATTTACACCTCTAAAGCTATAGACACATTGTACAACCCATAATTAACTGCCATCAGATCCTCTGCTTCTTCTGCATCCACCTACCAGGACATATACCATCTGAACTGAGCTGAGCTGATATATAGCAACAGAAAGAAAAAATAGCCTAGAATTCAGTGAAACTTTTGCCTATCATCTTTGGAAACCACCACCAGAAATATTTATTTGTCATCCTCCCACCAAGTAAATTAGCTTAAAAACTTTTTACTGGTTCGTTATCAGCACAACAGCACTGGCTACTATGAGCATACTCGGGATCTTTGCCTCTCCCGCTCTTCGGACATAACCACAGATGATGACATATCTCTTTCTGCTAAACATCTTTTGTATGGTACAAATCCCTTGCTACACTTTTGACTGGTTGTTTTCCCCTCAGGACAAGGATGTTGGCATTGGGAATCAACAGAATCTGAATTCTTCTCCCTATTTTCTGCTTGACTAACTGAGCTGGTATTTGAACCAGTAGAGGATCTTTCATTTTGAATTTCCTTCTCTTTCATCCTCTCTTCGACACAAGAATCTGTTTGGGTTTGATTAAATGAGGTAATGTAATAAAAGGGTAGACCTTGGTAGAAAGTCCACCATGGCAGAGAAGCATCACTGGTGGATTCAACATGGTCAACTTTATCTGGGTAGATTTCCATGTAAGGGGATAAATTAGCTTGGGAAGGCACCACACTCCAATCTTCGGTGACAGACCCTAGTGACAAACGCGTGTCTAACCGTGTTGACGGTAATGCCTGAACAAGCATCTCACCGACAGCATCAATCTCCCCTTGAGCAGTCTTAGATGTTGGAGACTTAAAATTTTCTGCATCCATGGAAGGTTTATGGGAATCTTTCACCTGAACCGTTTTTCCAAAAAGCTTAATACTAGTGAAAGGCACAACCATTGTTGCATCTGCTTTAGCACCCACAAAGCCCTTGAAATCTGCATTGAGTTTCTGGATAATTACATGAAACGAAAAGAAATCAGAGTCCAAATTCTAGACAAAAGTAAAGGTTAGCAATAATTGTTCGGAGAATAAACAAAGCCAGAGACGAATGCCAAAACTTTACCATGGGCAAAACATCCTCCACAGCTGAATGACCAAACACCTTCACAGATGACAAAGATGCTTTCTCTTCCTCTGCAGACGAGTTAGATGTTGCATAGTCAATGTCCTTTTCAACAGGGGATGTATTGATTGACTGCATATTGGTAGCACAAGAAGTTGGGGAAGAACATCCATTTTGCTGCTCTGAGGCAGCAGACCCCATTGCATCAGAAGTAAATGCAGACAAAACTGATGTGGGTGATTTGTTTTCTTGTTCTCTAACAAATTGACTAGGGGATGGAGACCTCTCTGGTTCAGATGATGGTAATATTCCTTTGAGTGAATCAACAGATTTGCGGGGATATGGATGCACTGGCTTTCTTTTTGGACGAGGAGGGGGTATCTCAATTGGCTTAATGGAACCCTCAAAGCCTCCATTTGACTCTCGGACAACCTAGAACCACAATCAGAAACATGCAAGTATAAGAGACAAAATGACCAGGAAAACCTGCTTGAGAATGTCTACGCATTGCATGGTCATAAAACATACAATACATTTTCCTAATCAAGAAAAGCTTGCAACAAACTTAAAGCAATAAACCTTAGAGAAAAACTTTTGTGCATGGCTTCGAATTTGAACAGCAGTTTTGGTGCCTACATGCTCTGCATGAAAATAATAGTAACTTAATCTGTTCAAACCATAACCTGCGCACAAAAGTGAATGAGTTCATCTCCCAACTTGCACTTACCTTCTATTTGGCGCCAGCCACGACCATAGAGCCTTAAAGCTTCAAGAAACTTCTGATGCTCTTCCTCAGTCCATTTTTCCCTTTGCTTAGTTATAGTGTAGGGTTTCCTGACCTGTTTTAAAGCGAAAGAAATATTGGACAACGTCAGCACAGCCAAGAAAAGATTAACAATTAAATTGTCAGGGACTAGCCTCAAAGGAAATTGCAATTCACAGGCAACGGGAAGAAAGGAACCTTGGGTGTATGGTCATGCTTAAAAGTGTATAACTCGTGAAACTGGGTCAAAGTCTCAGATTCTGGGCTGGAATTGGAACAGCATATACCAGATTTAAGAGCGTTGGGCGATGTTGTGCCTTCAACTTGGTCCTATATGAAAATTTGCAAGAGCATTTAAACAATAAGGAAACGAGGCTCTTCACAATATATAGACTCTAATATCACTTTCTAATAACAATCACTAGTACCAAAATGAATGCCTAAATCTCATAAAAGCACATCCACCGCCACACACAGGATTTCTGCATACAAAAACGCATGACTTGGACCCACAAAAACGCATTTAATTCAACAAATTGCAATAATCAATAGAAGCATGGAGCCAACAAGCACAGTAACAACAACTAAAGAAGCGGCAAATTCTATCTAGGATGTAAAAAGATCAGTTATGACTCAACGAGCGACAAATCCAGTAATCTGACTTGACTGCCTATATATATTAGTATATACTGGAAATTCACCCTTTACCTTAAGAAAAAACCAAAATCTGAATCAATCAAGTATAAAGCCTAAAACACATAATAGGTCGCCATGTACCTGAGTAGCCATCAGGAAAACCGGATTTTGCTTTCAAATCTTGCAGAGCCAATACTAGAATACTCCTGCAACAGTCCCCAAACCACTCTTTGAGCGTATGTATGTATATATGTATAACCCCTAATCCTAATCATAAGTAATAATTGTAATCCAACCAATTAACCTCTAGTTCCTACTTGTCTCGAAATCTCAACGACCAATCAGAATTTTTTTTTTTTAATATCAAACTGAAACAAAAGGAAAAAAATAAAAATAAAAACTAATCATAACTCCCCTCCTCTGCAATGAACAGTGAGACGCATAAGAAAAGATCATTAAATATCAAGGCAACTGAAATATTATCCATAAATGACATCAGATCAGCCAGGAACTCACCAGTTGAAAAGAGAAAACTTGAGCCAGGAGTGGAAATGACGTCTTTGTGGCAGGGGAATGAATTCGCAGTAAATAACAATAAGAAGAAATCAAAATCGAACGAAATTAAACAGTAGCACTCGGGAGTGGCTGCAAAAGTTTTTCCTTCTGAAGAAAAGAGAAGAAGAATCAAGAAGAATCGGAATACCAGATAGAAACAGAGAGAAGGAATGGGAAAACAAGAGAGGAAGGTTTTCAAGTTGGAAAAGTGAGATATATATTACCACTCAGTAATGTTATTATTTATGCATAAAAGCAGGGGAAGGGCGCCACGTCAGATGCAATTTCTGAATTTTATTTTTTATTTACATGGAAAATTCGAGAAGGGCTTTGGAGTCTTGTGGCTGAGAACGCCCGGGTCCCTCGACACGCGGCATCTTTTGCTTGCACTTTCTTTTATTTAGAAGATTTTTCTTCCTCATTTTTATTTTGTGGAAGATATTGAGTGATGGATGGATAAATGATAAATGTGGCCATTTTCAGATATTTTGTGACTTTTTTCCCCACGCGCACTTCGTTCTACTCTCTCGTTTCTTTCCTCTCTGTCACATTATCAGAGAGCGTGCGACCGACGCAGTCACTCGCCCGAGAGTGGAGATAAAAGCGGAACAGAAAAATAAAAGGAAAAAAGCTGAAGAAACAATCGAAAAATATCTGTGACCTCTAAAAACAAGGAGAGACAAAGACGGCTGGCCAAGTGGTAGTGCAGCTTGTGACATAAAGGACTTTGATGAGCTGAAGTGGTCCCCACCACACCTCCTCTGCGCTTTTTGCCACATCAGCTCTTCTTTACCGTAAACGCCACGCGTACCATCTTCAACCAATACCGTCCAAGTAAATTTTCAAATAGTTTTCCTTTTTCTTTTTTAATTAGCCCTTTCTGGTCTGTGTGGGCGGCGATCTCAGGCGGTTGACTCTACAATAACACCCTGTGCAAACAATCGTAGTAGGCGTATAATTTCAGCCTCATGTCTTCGTTTATTTTCTTCGTCAGGATAATGGTGGAACCTAGCCTCATATTTATCATCTTACCGACCTAGCTTTCCACTCCTATTTATCTCATATCTCTAAACTGCTTTGTAGCTTATCTCAATATACTATTTAATGATATATTTGATAAATAAGACTATACTATTTACGTAACATTATTTACATAATATTACATAGTAATATTAAATACTACTATTTAATTATCTTATAGTTTAATATCACTTAAATAATATTATAAGTAAAAAATATATATGTGTGTGTGGAACACATTAAATAATTTCAAATTAAAAATTATAATAAAATAAAAATTACATAATTATTTAAATTAAATTTATTACAAAATAATAACGGTTAATATAATTTTAAATAATATATAATTTAATTTTTAATAATGTTATTAAATTATTAGATATTAGATATTAAATTAAGTAATAATGCTAAATTATATAATTAGTAAATTACCCTAAATATAATATAACTTAATATTAGTTAAAAATAATATGAACATTTTATATTTAATAATATTATTTTAAATTAAAATATTTAATTAATTAATAATATTTTTTATATAATTAAAAAAAGAAATTTGAACGTTACTTTTTAAGTCAGATGATAATGTATTAATTAATGAATTAAATATTTAAATATTAATTAATTAATAATATTAAATTATAAAGAGTTATATAAAATAATATTATTTAATAAAATAAAATATAAAATTATATCAAATGAGAGTGTACTTAATTATATTTAATTATGAAAATATACAAAATATCTACTACTGAACAGCATCAGAAATGAAAATATTATTTTTAAAAATAAATTAAAAAATTAAATAAAAAAATTGTAAAGAAGTCAAACTAAAGCATCATTGATGAAAGGGGAAGAGTGCATTAATTATGTACTAGTACTATGTGAAGGGCGGGCAGGGGCTGATTACCTAAAACCAAAGAACAAGGGTTTGTACATGACCGAGTTGACGGTCCAGATGGGAAGTGGCACGTGGTACTGAAAGCAGAGCAGCCTAACTCTTACGTGGAATCAACTGAGGAGGCTCATTGGCTAGAGTCGGCCAATACTTTATGAAAAGGAAAACGCAATCTACTGCTACTATGAAATTTCACTTGCCAAGATACCAATAATTAAAAAAGAAAAAGAAAAAGAAATCAGAAATGGGCAGGAAAATTGAGAGCCACAAGTTGTGTGGGGCTTGGTAAGGGTTGTTGTTAGCTAAAACATAAACAAGAAGAGTCCAGCTATCGGCCACGTGGCCCCATCCCTTCGTCTAGTCAAAAAGATATATATACGTATATATAGTACTACCACTTTTTAGTATAAACTATTAAAAAAATTAATATAGTACAAGCAGTTTTCAGCAATTGCAAAAATGAGAGGCCGCTGTTTCTTTAAGATATTCTCTTTCTCAGGAGTTCGGGGTAGGATCGGTATTTGCTTTCTTCAAAGTATTTTGCTTGTTCGCTTTCACTTATATTACACTATTTTATTTTATTTTTCATAATTAGTAATTAAATTTTTTTAAATTTTTTTATAATTAAAAAATGAAGAATTTGAATCTTATTTTACTTATTCGCTTTTACGTATGTTATAGTATTTTATTTTTTTCTCTCATAATTAGTAATTAAGTTTTTTTAAAATTTTTTTATAATTTACATAGAAAGAATTCGAATTTTATTTTTTAAATAGATAATTAATACATTAACTAATAAGTCAAATGTTTAGATATAAGTTTTTTTTTAAGTTTGATTATTTTTATTTATAAATTATGAGCATTAATTACAAATAAAAAAATTATGAGTATTAATCTAAATTATCCAAAAAAAACATGAGCATTAATTAAAATTTTAAAAAAGCATTACTTAAAATTTTTTAAAAAAATTATGAGTATTAATTAAAATTATAAAAAAGTACATTTCTAAAACTTTAAATGGAATAGTTTTCAAACATATTTATTAAGATTTAATTTGATCAAATAATTGAGATATTTAAGATAAAAACAAAAAATTGACAAAAAAATCAAATTAAAATATTATTTACGACAGAAAGAGTATAATAAAAATAAGCATGAGCATTGTTGTTGAAAGAAAGAAAGAATGGATTTGATTGGGTTGTGGATGTAGCAGCTGTCAGATAGGTGCACTCACATGTGAGATGAATTTTTTAAATGGGGAAATTTGTGAGCCATGTTTTTGATATTTCCAGATTCGAGTGGAATCAGCCATCAGGGTAGGGCAGTGATTGCAGGCCTCTAATTTGCGACCTTTGCCCGTACTCCTCCAACCAATTTCGTCACGTGCCTTGCGCTTTACTGCCTAACGTAACCCTCGTTAATCGTTTCACGCCCTGTCCCTGCCGCTTTTCGGCCAATTTTTAGTTAAAAGCGCCCTGAATCATATCCTCGTTGACACATTTTGGATTCCCTTCCCAGTCCACCATCACGTGATGCCATTGCCAAGTACCCAACCCTTAGCTTACATAAATAATATATATATTATGTGGCTCTCATTTTTTTTCCCTTAATTACTCTCTCGTCAGTCCATTTTCCACCTTGTGTTTCTGACTTGTGAGGTGATGATAGCTTTTGCCAAACGTTGCTTGTCTGCCTTATTTTTTTGCAATAAAGGAAATAGATGTGATTTTTGGTAAATCATAAAAAGTAAGGGCTTTTCTATGGCAAGTTTACTTTTGGTAACCTTCATATAAAGTCATTCACCATCAGATTTGTAATATTTATTATGAGGTCATTTCTTCTTGATATAATATTTTAAAAAACTTTTCAATTATTTAAAAAAAATTTAAATAAAATTTATTTTTTATTTCATTTTATAAAACTCTTATATTTTTATTTTAAATCAAATAAACACTTATGATTAATAGTCAATTAATTAACTTTAAGTAAAATACCAATTATCATTTTATGTTTATGTAGCACTAATATGAAGGGTGAAAAATAATATATAAATATATCATTAAGCTACATCAACATATCAGTATATCACATCAGCACTATGTAACACAAAATAATAGTTAATCAACTATTAATAATAAAGATTTATTTGACTCAAAATACAAATCTAAAGATTTGATTAAATATAATAAGAGAATAAAATCTAAATAGCTTAAAAATATTTTTTAGTATTATGTCTTGTTTCTTTGGAAACAAAACAAAACATTAACACAATGCAAAGAAGTTGGTGTAAAGGGCTCTTGCTCTCTTCCTTCTCTTTGGTAGAGAAAAAGTTAGTCAGACTCAAGACTTGTGGATATTTGGTTTCATGGTCTTCCACAAACAATTTTTTGGTTGATGCCTGAACTTAGTTTTGTTGGGATGAGTTCTACAACCAATTGAGATTGGTTAAGGCTTGATTCCAATTATGCAATAATATCATACATGTTGAATGATTAAAGGTTTTTCTTCATCAATAAGACATCAATTATAATGAGTTATAAGTCTAATTGAATGACGTCCATAAGATTAATATGCCTTATAAGGAAACTATAATGGTTTGCAGTTATGAATCCCTATGCATCAAAACATAATCTCAAAATGTTCCTAATCAATGTATCATTGAGATTGGACATTAATGATTCTTAAAGACTAGTGTATTCTATGTTCTTTTCTTTGAAAGTAAGCAATCAATTCATAGATTGAAGTATAGAGATGCTTGGAACGAGAAAATAGGTGCTTGCCTAGAAGAGCAAGTTCATTAAACATGACTCGCCATGAGAAGTGCATTTAGTATTTCACTTAAGTGTTTATGCAATACTTCTCACATGTCAATTGTGTAAATACTTCTTAGACTTTAGACACTAGGTTGTCTTATATGTGGAGTGCTATGCTTTGATTTCATCCCTACGAATGCCTAACCAAGGATGCCAAAATAGGATGCTTTTGGATATAGCATGAAGCATGTGAAGGCAAATGAGTGGTCCAAAAAGAAATCATCACCCAACTGATTTAGGGGATGCATCCTAACAATTCTTGGTTGCTATTAGCTTATTGAAGTCTTTGGCCAAAACGACTTGAAAATTATGAAAAGAAGTTTCATAAGTCTCTACAAAACTAATGATCTAATTTCACGAATGAATATGAAGATTAATAAGAGTAGACACTGCACCATGCTCTTATCATTTTCAGGATATATGATGAAGGAATGAATTATATTGATAGATTGTACATTGAAAGGT